TCAATTTACCTGCCTAAATTCTCCTTAGCATGGCGCTGGACGGCTGAAAGTAGTTCGGCTGCCTGATGACGTTTTACCGAATTATAGTTTTTTTTACCAGGTTTGTACGGATACCATCGCAATTTTTTCACCGTCTTATAGGAATCGTAATTATAGGAACCCGTGTTATAGGGGGTCTACTATATTTAAAAAGCCTTTTTTTAGATATAATAATTTGTAAATCTGAAGACAACTGATTATCTATATAAAAAACGAGTATTTATTTGTACTGACTAAATCTGATTTCCTCCATTAATCAAATTTTCTTAAAAAGATGTAAACATCTACTATGACTAAACATCACAAATGGGGTTAGTAGTATATTCTTTTAGTAGTTGAATTTGTTTACTACAGTCTTGAAAAGAATAAAGGGTTGGTAGATCCAATGTGGGCTGATTTCAAGTATTACTGACTGGTTTGGATCATGTTATTTCTTCACCTCTAGAACATAAACACACGAGGAAAGATATAGGCTATTTACAACTACCATTGTATATTTTTTCTATAAAACAGATTGTGTAGTGTTGTATCCTTCTGTTCAATTTTTAATGCAGTCATGTTAGCAAATACATTCTTTCTGGAAAACAATTTCTAGATACAACAGATATTAACAGTTCAAGAAGCATTCCACGTAATAACTATTTAATGAAAAGATCTATCTCTATAAATACAGATCACCTTTATCAGCCACTTTAGTGAAGCTTATGAGGGATATCAAATGTAAAATTTTTAATGCTCCACTCACCTGTTATCCAATTCTCTACTTGAGGTATGTTGATATTTTATTGACATGAGAAGGCTCCCATCAGGAATTTATTAGATATATTTAACTGCTGTCCTCAATATATCAGACAATATTCTTCACTATTGCATGAAAGGATTGTGACTACTTGTTCCCCTTTTTTAGAACTTCCATGGATCTCACGCACATTTGGAGTTTGATTTCCTCCCTCTAATCATCCATGTCTTCATCAACTGCCTCAATTTGTTTATATGCAAGACTTACTTGCTTCCCACCTTTCAACATCTAATAGATATGAAAATTAAATCTCTCATAGATACATTCACAATGGCTGGTTACAAAGGGGCAAGTTCAATTACATCAAGACTAGAGTCCATAAATCCCAGTTTCCAGTGTTTCCTGTGCAGTTTATACATGTTTATTCATTCCTTATCCAAGGCACATCACATTATGCCTAGCTCACTTGTTTTATAAGTTTTGCCACATTCTTCCCCTCAAACTGCAGCCCATTTTGCAAAAGTTAATATCCAATGACAGGAACCTCATTCCATACTCAAAGTCAGGAGTCTATCAAATTCCTTCCTTTAAGACAAGGTATGTACAAGTGCTATTACTTTTTCATATATTGGGACTTCTGAGAATGTTTTTGAGTAGAATTATTGAACATTAAGATGATATCTAATGCAATAGATCCAACACACACATATTAATAACAACTTGTAAATTTAAAGAAAATTGATTATTTCTGTAAAAAACTCTTTAAATATCTGTAAACATTTCAGTTTAATATCTGTTCAATCATATTTTAATTCTGTTTGAAATGTTTAAAATATTTTGTACATTAAACCTCTGTTTCAAATATAATGATCCTTTCAGAATTGTTTTTGAATGTGCTATTCTGTTTGAATTTTGTGTGTTCTAGATGTATTCTAACTCATCTGAAAATGATGATAACGCAATGCTGAAAGTGCTTGAGAGTCTTCTCCAATTAATTAAAGTTTGTTAACATTAAATAGACAGTTTCTCTGCTTTTCTCTGATAATACAATCTTGGCATATTTCTGTTATTCAATTTTACTGATTCAAGAGAAAAATTCACATAAAAAGGCGTTAAAGAACATTTAAGAAATGTTTTAATATCCTGCAGGACATTAAAACGTTTCTTAAAATGTTCTTTAATGCCTTTTTTTATGTGAATTTTTCTCTTGAATCAGTAAAATTGTTGGTGTGACATCCACTCTATGTTTAAGTTATTCAATTTGATTTAAATTAAAAAGATCAAATCTAGTGTATTTTCTTCTAATCTATTTTCTCCTGTTATGTTCTAATAATTAGTTCTCATAAAATACCTTTTACATATATTCTACAGGTTTTTACAAAACTGCACTTTCCATCTTTAAATTGTTATTTCTGTTTGTGATATGGATCTATATTTCAAAACTAAATTCTTACTCTTCATTACTTTAATTTGTATGCTCTATCATTTTACATGTATAAAAGGCAGACAAATTAAGGAATTAATATATGTTTTTGAATTTCCTTTCTAAAGACATTCCACTAATAACATTCTTTACTTAAAATTACATTCACTTGTGCTCTCCAAAATTTGATGACTTATTACTCAAAAAAAAGTTTAAAATTAAAAAAACATACCTTACTGCTATAAGATTTTTCTATTATTATACTACTACAATAAAACATTTTCTCTCCGTATAACAGTATACTGTAATATCAGAATTTAATGTAGATTTCTTTTCATGAATTATTATAAAAGCATTTTTAGGAATTTTCAATTCACAATTTCAATGATTTCTTTAAATGAATAAGAAAAGCTCTTCTTAAAGATTTTTGCTAACAAATTCAAGATACACTTTTGCTGTTACACTTTTCTATTGATATATTTCTACACAAACATAATTTTTAATAAATTCTTATTTATAAAGAATTTTTCTTTGAAATTATAAAATAACTAGGATCATTCTTTTGAAATGATTTTGTTTAAAATAAATTTATAACTTCATTAGTTAAGAATTGATCAATTTCTGATTTTTTAATCAAAATAAATTTTATTAATTGATATCACCCTATAATATACTTCAAAATTTCAGAAATATACATATATATATAAAACTTAGTAATTACTGTTATTTAAATTCTTAACTGTTAATATTTTAAAGTACAGTACAAATAATAGAATGGAATTTAGAATTTTAACTTCAGAATAAAACTGATTATAATAATTGATTCATTTTTAAATTTGAATACATCATTACTCTGTTGTATTTCAATTATTTAAAAAATTTTCAGTTTCAAATCATGCATTTTAATTTTCTTTTTATACAGACTAAAAATGTCTGATTATTAATATGCAAATATAACATTTTTAATTAAATTCATTTTTATGTTCTGATAAAATATTTAAAAGCCAAATTATTAATTATCTGATTCTATAGTTCTTTTCTTTAAATTAAATAAAGTATTGCTTTTGCTATTCATATTGTGGACAAAAACATCAAATTTTGTAAGTTTTTCAAGACTTACATATGATTTCTATATATGATACAATATGATTTATATTATTTCAAATTACTTTAATAAGTTTAACTTACAATAAAAAAATCAATATAAGACATTATAATGCAAAAATATCTTTTTAATTGATTTTAACTATTACCACTAAATGTAGCAATTGAAATATTGCTGTATTTAGAAATATTTAATTTATATTAATTAAAAAGTAAATTTTGTTATTATTAAAATTTAACTATAATAATAAGTATATGCCCAACTTAAGAAGTTACTTTTCTGCATCCCAAATTTGAAATATGACAATTCAAAATAGTTTTGAAAGAAATGCACAGAGCCATAAAAAAATATAAATGTATATTTTAGAAATCAGTGCTTAAGTTCTACAATATGCTCAGACTACAGTACTATTTACTTTGTTTTAAGCTACACTAGAATGATAAATTTTCTCATTATAAACTTCATGTAAAACAATTATAAGGAATTTTCAACAAAACTATACATTTATCAATCATTTGAATGCCAAGATATTGATCTTGACATTCAACTGATTTATACACCACAATATCATTCCTACACACTGAATTTAAACAAAAATATATTTTACAATTATTTATGTTAAATTCTTGATCTTATTGTTAATTTATGTGTTCATCATTTTTACTTTTATTAAACTATTCTCATATAAAAGTCTCGTTTTACATTCTTATATCTTTACAGTAATTCATTTTAAATAACTTTTAATTCAAAAAAATAAAAATAAAATAAGGGAAACTATTATAATAATTTCAATTACACAATTTAGTAGAAAAACTATTTAATTATATAATAATACATACACTGAAATATGTATACAGTCAGATTTTAAAATCATCCTTTTTGATGAAAAAACGTGACAGGAATTAAGCCAGTACATTAATAAAAAGGAAATAAGACAGAATATCATTGTCAATTAGCTATCATAAAATAATTTTTTAAATTAATGTAAAGTACTACAGTATTTTAAAAATTCTTCTCCATATTGGAAGTCAAAATCAGTCAAATGGAAACAAACATTTATCATATATTCAACTTATTATTATTAAAACTATGCAAATACAGATCCATGGAAAGGTTTCATTTAATGTAAAGAAGAAGTAAATATTTTTAATTTTTCACATCTTTATCACTCTAAACAGATGAGGGATTTTTTTTTCTTTTCATTTTGACAATCTATTTAATATCAATTTTCTTCATCTCTGATCATTTAAACTAAAGAATTTAAGTCAAAAAAATATCTTGTTGAATATGAATTTTTACTTAAATAAACAGGAGAAAAATCTTTTTACCAGGAAAGAATGCAATTTATTCGTGTTAGGCCCAAACTGAATCGGATTGGCTTATGGCAATATTTCGAAGTATTTAGTGACAACGAGACGATTTAATAACGAAAAATTTACTCGAAAATCATCAGATTTCTCACTTATTTCGAGATATTTACGTTTGATTCTAACACAAACAACGAAGACATAATGGAACCAATTTTTTTTTTTTTTTAATGTGCGTATATTTGCGATGTTGAAAACGATGTTTTATGCTTAAAACGTGAATAATTTTACGTGAAAACACAAAAAGAATTGTTGAATGCTAGAAAATGATGGATGAATCTTAATGTCCAATTAGGAACGAAAAGAAATTTATAAACAACAACTTACTTGTATAGTCACCTTCCATTCTATACAGCATTTACACTAATCTTTCTGAATTCCGTAAAGTAAATGCTTATTTTCTTCAGAAATTCTTTAAAATAATCATAAATTGTACTTTCTTCTCATAAGCTATAATAAACTGATTGATAACTAACAGCTTCAGCAAGGAGCGACCTCATTCTGTTGCTATGGGCAGATACCACTACTCGATATGACGTTTGAATTTTAAATATTTTAAAATTATTATTAACGTCGATTGTTAAATAATTTATAGAAAAAACAACGTTTATATTTCTTCAAATGAAATAAAATGTCGAAATTTGTATAAAATATTTACTATTTATGTATTTGAATAAATATACTTGACTGACCTCTACTGTGTACTGTAATTACGATTTGCTGACACAATGGCGAGAAAGAAAATTATGTGTGCAGTGTCTATACACGTGTTTTTGTGTTTTATTTTTAAATAAATAACATAAAAAAATAATTACGTTAATTTCTAATTGTGAAGCTAGTTAAGGGCTTCGATAATATAATTCAATAGTTTAATTATTTAATACAATTC